TGTCTGAAGTTTAAGCGTGGGATCTCTGTAAATAGTCATTTAAGCTCATTTAAAGCATACCGCTTCCGACTGGCCACGGAGATCATCGAACAGCTGTTGGTACTTCATTGCTGGTGTTTTGCCCTTTGATTGGATGAGCTTCTTCAGTGCTTGAGCCACTTCCTCCTTACGCTTGCGTGCTGTAGCGCTCATTCCTGTCCACAAACAACCAATCAAAACCATCAGACTCGCTGCAATTACCATACATTACTTAAGTGTTCAGGAAAATAAGAGAAAGCCCTGCTGAACAATCCAGCCTAAACCAGCCAACCAGCCTAGGCTGGTTTAAACTGGATTTTTCAGCAGGGAGAGTTTGATTATAGTCATAATATCAGCTACTCTAGTTATTTCATGGCAAAACCAGATCAAACTTTTCATAAAGATCACTTTTTTAATAATAATAGAAACATTTTGACAATAAAAAGACATTATCAGCAATGATTAATACACAAGAAACGTCTAAAACAGTTTAAGGTTTACTTTTGATCTTCACAATTTTTGAAGGATTTACAGCTAACAATATTTCTTTTAAAGTCTCTCCAGATAAAGATTTGGAGTCTCCCGATAAAAATCTTTGTCTGATAATGTTAAATATACGGCACTCCAAAGGAATATCTTTAACCTTTTGGTTTCTGTTGCGAAATTGACGATTTGGGGCAACTTCTCCTTTTAGTAAATGACTACGAGTTAGTCTCGAGTGTCTGATTTGGCATCTTGTGTAAACAACCTCATCATGTGTCAAGTTAAAAGGAAATAGTTTAATAGAATTTAATAGAAAGTAGTTTAATAGAATTTGTTCCTACGATATGGCATTTATTACAAATATAGCCTTTTATTAGTGGCTTTAAATCTGAAAGAGGGACTTTGCACTTCTTAATTCTCCCTGTTTTGGCAGCTTTAAACCAGTTATTAATCATAAAAATTTAAGGGATTTAAACACAGCTGTAGTAATTACAATAGATTATGCATAATTACATGCAGCAAAGCCTGAAATTAACCAAACCTAAACCCTGACCATTTAACAAACACATTTCATTAATATTACTCAGTTAAATTAAGAGTTACTCTGTAACAAGTACACCTTAAAATAGAGCAAACACATATCTTATTCACTTTATAATTATTGTCATTTTAATTATGCACTAACAATACACTACCTGACAAAAGTCTTGTCGCCTATCCAAGTTTTAGGAACAACAAATAATAACTTGACTTCTAGTTGATCATTTGGTATCACAAGTGGCTTATATGAAAGGCAAAAGCCTCTACATTACACTTATTTCCTAAATAAAATATGATCATGCCTTTTTAATTATTATTATTAATTTTTTATTATTATTTAATTAGGACAGTAAGGTCTGACTTTGCTTAGATAAAAGTCTTGTCCTTTAACAGAAATAATGTCCAGTATAGAATATAAAGTCATGCTGCAGTGGAGACAGAATGAATATTGTGTATGACTCCATCATGAGCTTAGAGGACTGCATCCATGCATCTCTGCAATGACTCAAATCACTCATTAATAGTCATATGGAATGGCAAAGAAAGCGTTCTTGCAGGACTCCCAGAGCTCATCAAGAGTCTTTGGATTTATCTTCAATGCCTCCTCCATCATCTTACCCAAGACAAGCTCAATAATGTTGATCTCTGGTGACTGGGCTGGCCAATCCGGGAGTGCCTTGACCTTCTTTGCTTTCAGGAGCTTTGATGTGGAGGCTGAAGTATGAGAAGGAGCGCTATCCTGCTGAAGAATTTGCCCTCTCCTGTGGTTTGTAATGTAATGGGCAGCACAAATGTCTTGACACCTTAGGCTGTTGATGTCGCTATCCAGATCTCTCGCACACCCCATAATGAATGTAACCCTAAACAAGGGGTCACCAATCCCAGTCCTGGAGGGCCGGTATCCCTGCAGGGTTTAGCTCCAACTTGCTTTAACACACCTGCCTGGATGTTTCAAGTATACCAAGTAAGGCCTTGATTAGCTTGTTCAGGTGTGTTTGATTAGGGTTGGAGCTAAAATATGTAGGACACAGGCCCTCCAGGAACAAGTTTGGTGACCCCTGCCCTAAACCATGATTTTTCCTTCACCAAACTTGACTGATTTCTCTAAGAATCTTGTGTCCATGCGGGTTCCAGTAGGTCTTCTGCAGTATTTGTGATTGGAATGCAGCTCAACAGATGATTCATCTGCTACTTTTCCAAATGATCAACTATACGTCAAGTTATTATTTGTTGCTCATACAACTGGGATTGACAACAAGACTTATGTCAGGTAGTGAATATATATATATATATATATATATATACACACACACACATTAATACAGCTAATATATTTATATATATATATATATATTTATATATATATATATATATATATATATATATATATATAAACTATTAAATCATTGTCTTATTAAGTTGAAATAAATTGTATTCTTTTCATTGAGCCATTCTAGAGATCCATATCATACCGAATTCATAAATTAATAGTAATATTTTAAGTAACTTTGAGTTAATAATTAATTACTTTATTATTGTAACATTTACCTTTTCAGCGAGTGACTCATATTAGTGACATTCAAAAATATTAATATTTTGAACAACATTAATTTTACAAAACAATAATAATTCAATATTTAATCTTTTTTTTTATTATTGTATATTTTTATAAGTCATACTAGTTCATCTTGCACTATTGAAGTGACTCAACCCAACCAGCAATGACAGTGCATCTTTGCAGTGATTCTGTAAATCCTACCTGTGGTGAGGATGGAAATATCCACAAATCCTGTCCTGGGATCAGTTGCGGACTGTTTCAGGGCTTCTCGATGGAGTCTCTTGGCTTCCTCCACATCGATGGTCTCCACTTTTCCAGAGAAGCGTACTTTAGCATGAGCTTCAGCTAGCCTGATGAGTGACTCCAGCTGACGGGGATACGCAGACACCATCCCTCGACCGCTGCCGATCTTGCGCATGTCCACATAGGCCTGTGAGGAGCAAAATTACACATTTGACATTGGATCTGTTAAAACTAGGGTTGCCAAATGTCCCATGATAATCATGTATATTAGGTCTAATTGATTTGAACTGCCCATGCTAAATGTGCGCAGCATTTCTTTGTTAGGATCATTATTTAAAAGTGCAGTATGTGACATCTAGTGGATGAACTAGGTATTGCAGTCCAAATTCAAAATATTGGATTTTTTTTCCCACCCAGCCCCTCCTCAGGTTGCTGAGACCAGCAGGAGTGAGCCAAAAGTCAAAGTATTCACACAAGTAGATTGACATTACATATGAAGTCAATGCAAACGCGATCGAAAAGGAGCATTTCTACAGTGCAGCGCAAATATTTTACTTGTTTTTGCCTGTCTTTTTTTTATTTATTTTATTGCCACATCAGCAATGTTTGGCTATTTCATGGCAAGATTAAAACGGATTAAAACAAACAACAAAATATTTATGCAACTTCAAATAATTCAACTCGAGCAGAAAATTAGCTTGAGGTAAATAAACATCACTCACTCTAGTTTACTCACGGGAAGCTTAAAGTTGGTGTGAACCAGCATTACACTATAAGCTTCTCAGCTAATGTTTGTGTTTGTAACATTTTTCTATTGTTTGCCAATTTGAAACTACCTCATGTTAATTTTTATAACTCAGAATCTACATCTTATTTTAAAGGCCCGCATACATTGAGACGGCAGTCTTCAACCAAGGCAACCTGGGGTGCCAAAATATAATGGCTAAAAATCGCAGTAGGCAGAGTTACACAGACCAAAACAAAGACAGACCTTCATACAATTTCAAAGTAGAACAACTGACATCAGCATTGTTTTTTCAGATAAACAAGCAAGTTCACTTACAGGGCTCGAAATTAACTTTTTTACTTGGTAGCACCAGTGCTCCCGACATCAAAAATTTAGGAGCACCCACCAACAATGATTGAGCACCGCTGCAAATTGAATTTTAAGGGATTTACTGTATTTTAAAACAACATTAATTAGGACTAACAAAAACCAGAAACAACTATCTAACTAATGCTGAAATGACATTGATATTTGTGTGCAATAATTCCAAAATGAATGTCGAATAATTATAAAATATTAATGTTGATGAAAATGACGATAATAGTAACAATGAATTACAGTTCTCATCATCATGCTGCCTTGAATGTGCTTGAATGCAGGTTATCTGCTATAAAAAGTCTGTTACTTTATGAGAAATAAATGTATAGTTTGCATCAAACAAAAATGAAGCATTGCAGTAAGAAATATTTATTTTGTACTGCTGTTAATATATGCATGTCAGTTTAATAAATAATATTTCTGCCATAAAACAAACAAAAGATTATAATAAATAATTAAATTCAAGCCTGAAAGCAGCAAAACAGTCATCAGTAACTAAATAAAAAAATAAATAATATACACCTCTAGAAAGAATAGACAAAACAAAGTAAGTAAAGTCTCACTTCTATCACTCTTTAAAAGTTTTGGTTTCAGTTTGTGTCAATTTAAAGGTTCAGTCTGAGCTGATCTTCATTTTTCTGTGTTTGTGGAAAAGCAGGCGAGTCAACCGACCCAATTTATGAGCAGGCAGAGCAGGATTCTTGCGATGACCATCGGCGCAATACCACTGTTTATGAGCCGCAGCTTCAGTGTGAACTTAGTAAAGGCGAGCTTCTTTGGCGATGATATGTCCAGTATTAGATTTAACTTTTAGCGGACATTTGCGCTGAACACGCAGTGAATGCAACGCATCGAGATTCGGGCGCCTTCTCCGAAAAGCACATGGTCGATTGATCTCAGCTGGCGGATCAATATTCACCACATGTCATGATCGCTTTCATCTGCGCCTCAACTTTAGGTGGGGTTTGCAAACCTGTGTGCTTTAAGTTTTCACTCTTCAGCCGTTTGCATTTCCCGTGGTCATAAAAGCTTCTTCCCTGTCACCTGACTGCGGAATATCTTGAGTGATTGACAGCTAATATGAACCAATATAGCGGCAGGGAAGACCGATTTAGCACGTTTTTAGAAAAAATCTAAACAGGTCACACTACAACCATTATCTGCAGTCGCACTAATGCTCCCATATATATTATGAGGTTGCATAGATTATTCTCGGGCGCATTTGCGACCAAAACAGTCGCAATTTCGAGCCCTGACTTCGCATATTTCTGAAATATCTGCAAAAATATTATGGATATTATAGTATTAATAGTCCAAAACTTACATACAGCCCCTTTAATTATAAAAGAGACAACGAACAATTTGATTGCAAAAGAAATCTGACATATGAAATGGCCAATTAAAAAATAAATCAAGATCAGCTAATCACAGTGAAATATCAGTATCGTCCTTAAATTAAAAGTAACAAAGCTGGCAACATATAATGCTGTGCTGTTATAGTGTTTCTATACCTCAATAAGGGCCTGACTGGCTTCTTCACTCAGTCTGGGATGTACAGTTGTGCGAGCGAAGGCGATGTAGTCTTTCAGTACAGCCATGTCCAGATGCTCCTCTTCAATCTGCTCTTCACTCTGATAATACAGAGAGACAAGGTGGTGCGCCAGACGCCTGTCATACGCCTCGTCCTGAGGGTCCAGCATTAGGAAGATCAAATCAAACCTGGAAAAAAAACAGATGCAGAGAGACAATTATTAGACAAAAGAAGAAAAAAAAACATTAAAATAAAAAGCAGCTTATGTTGAACTAATATTATGAATAATTAATAATCTTTGAGATCACAAAAGTAAAAAAAAAATTAAGTTCTTTTATGTAAATTTGCCCTATTTGTTAATAAATGTCTTTAAAGTTAGTTTATAATTTAATTTGACAACTAATTTAAATTAAACACTTCTATACTGACAAAACTAATATTTAATTATATCATCCAAATGTTTTTTTTCTTTACTTTTAAACATTAAAATTATCACATAATTATTGGCATTTCACATAAACACTGCACTTAGGAAGTTGGTTCCCAAATAATATTAAGCAGCACAACACTTTGCATTACAAAAATGTAATACATCCTAAAAGAAAACATCTATTTTAAACTGTAATTATTAAACATTACATTTTTACTTTATTTTTAATCTAATTAATGTTAACTAATATTTTTCAAAACACATTGTTTTAAATATTCAGCAGATGATTAATATACATTATCCGCTATAAATACGGTTGTTTAATTTGTACCTGGACAGCAGTGTGTGAGGCAGCTGAATGTTCTCTATCGTTGTCTTTTTGGGGTTCCACTGAGACTCCACCGGATTGGCTGCTGCGAGGATGGAGGTCCGAGCATTAAGCTGACAAATAATCCCAGCCTACGAAACACACACACAATCCTGCATTAATCATCAGTTCAAACAAATGCATTGCAATTCCAAACCCAATCCTTCATGCACCTTCAGATACATGTCGGTATTCATTAATTCGATATATTGTGATAATGAACATGCACAATATTGATATCACAGGTACCTCAAAACACCATGATTAATTGTTTAAACATTTGAGTGCCTTTTAAGAAAATGTTGTATTAGTTTGTTGTATTAGTATTGGTTAGGTTATTTTCAAAAAGTAAGACTTACTGAATCTGAGACTATTTATAGGCCTTTTGTTCATGAATTCTGACTCATTAAAGTCCATGTAATGATAACTACAAAAACATTTATTAATCTTAGGTGATGTTAATTTGTAGTTAATGCTTAATTTATTGAAATGCTTTCATTTTCTTTATTTCTTTTTTTCAATTTCTCATTGCATCCTGGCCAAATCTGCCCACTGGCCTCTGTCTATCATGGCCTTCTAACCATCCTCATATCATAATGGGTTCATGGTCTCCTCTCCACCAATCAGCTGGTGTGTGGTCTGGCACAATATGGCTGCCATCACGTCATCCTGATGGATGCTCCACACTGGTGGTGGATGAGGAGACCCCGCCCCCCAATGTGTAAAGCGCTTTGAGTGTCCAGAAAAGCGCTATATAAATGTATAGAATTATTATTATTATTATTATTTAAATCTAACGTCGAAATTGCTTCATTAAATGTGATAAACAGACTTATTTGGTTGTATTTTTTGCGAACGTTGACATAACTATAATAGGCGACGCAGTGGCGCAGTAGGTAGTGCTGTAGGTAGTTCTGTGTGGAGTTTGCATGTTCTCCCTGCGTTTGCGCGGGTTTCCTCTGGGTGCTCCGGTTTCCCCCACAGTCCAAAGACATGCGCTATAGGTAAATTGAGTAGGCTAAATTGTCTGTAGTGTATGAGTGTGTGTAAATGAGTGTGTATGGATGTGTCCCAGAGATGGGTTGCAGCTGGAAGGGCATCCGCTCCATAAAACATGTGCTGGATAAGTTGGCGGTTCATTCCGCTGTGGCGACCACTGATTAATAAAGTGACTAAGCCAAAAAGAAAATGAACGAATGAATAACTATATTGCATTTTCTCATTCTTGATTTTAACGAATTATTTTAACGGTTTATGAAAGAGAATTTATTGTAAAGTGTTACCTATTTTACTTTATCATCCTTTTGCAATTTAATGTGTTTAAAACATTTATTTTATCTCAACATGTGTATATATAATAAAGCATTTTTGTAACTATACTTGTTAAATTACTGCAGCTTGGGTCAATACTGTGATGAAACGTATATAGTTAAAAAACTAAGGTAATCAGATACGTATAAGCCTATGCACCTTAGCAATAGAGAGCGTCTGCTGCTCCATGACCTCGTGCAGCACAGATCTGGTGTTGTCGCTCATCTTGTCGAACTCGTCGATGCAGCAGATGCCATTATCGCTGAGCACGAGCGCTCCGGTCTGCAGGACCAGCTGTCGGGTTTCAGGATCCTTCATCACGTAGGCTGTGAGACCAACGGCGCTGGATCCTTTCCCGGACGTGTACTGACCGCGAGGAACCAGGTTGTACACGTACTGCAGCAGCTGGGATTTACTGGTGCCCGGATCACCACACAGCAGGATGTTGACTTCAGCACGGAAGTTTCCTCGGCCCGTCTGAGTGAAGTCCTTACGCGTCCCGCCAAATAACTGCAACAGGATGCCCTGGAAAACATCAACACCATCAACTTGTGTCCTGACAGCATATTCCTTGATGTAAAGGTCTCGTGAAGTGCTTTAAAATGTGCATTTTTATTCGATGACTGACGTAATCTCAATCAACACATGAAGACGGAGTGGGACAAGTTCGCAAGTGGAGGAGCAATTCAATTACACTCAAAACAACTTCATCAATTTAGAGTTTCCCATCATACTGACCTTCTTGATGTCCTCGTGTTCGTAGATGCTGGGAGCCAGAGCAGAGGACAGGCGCTCATAGACGTCAGGTTTAGCGGCTAGCTCTTTTAGCAGAGCGACTCGTTCTTTAGTGAAGAGTTTCTGCTCTCCGTCCTCGTCCAGTCCATGCAGACGCTTCTCGTCAGTCTTGCGGAAGTGAATGGCGTCAATGTGGGTCTTGTAAACAGACTTCACCTGGCTCTGCCGTGGGTTCAGACGCATCGGGGCAGCTCTGTAGATGCCTGAGCACAATAAAAGAAGAGTTGCTCAGTCATTTTGCCAAACGAAAGACAAAAACATGAGTGTAAAAAAATACAAAAAAAATGTACCAAAAAAAAAAAAAAAAAAACAGCCTATGCCGGTTCTTATAAAGGATTCAGTCAGTGTTTTCATTTTGTAACCTAAGCCCCCGTTTACACTGCCAGTTAAATGTGACCCAATTCCGATTTTTTGCTCATATGTGACGCAGATCGGATCTGTTCTACGACTGAGTAAACACAAAAAAAAAAAAAAAGGCATGCATTCGGATGTTCAGAGATCGGTTTCAGGCCTCCTTCGCATTGGGAAATAAATCAGATTTAGATCGGATATGTGACAATGCGACTGTCATGTAAACAGGCAGATCGGATTTATTGAGGCATTCCGTTCTGTACATCATTAAACTTGCGACAATGTGGTGCTTCTCCGCAGTTTAATGACAGAAAGAAGAGCGTGTGTGGAGATGCAGACGCGGTAAACAACATCAGAGGAAACACAGAGGAGGAAGTGGTCAGTCGACACCATTTGCTCCCAGCAGACCCGAGATCTCTCTCGTACCCACACATTCCTCTGAATGGTGGAGGACATCATAAAGCATATAAACCATAAGCGCAAGCTGCGATGACGGCCCTTTTCCTCCTCCACCACAAAATCATTTTAAAGTTGGGCGAACTTCGTGTTGTAACTTTTGCTTTTTGTCACTATTAATACACATAGAACAACTTTATTCTCTCTAACACCAGTGCGCACACAGGCAAAGGCTACATATTTAACTACACACACACACATCAGTGCCATACCATTATTACTACGTGGGGGTAAATCTGGACTAAACCATTCACTGCTTATACTACACTTCGCATATTCGCAGAGCTAAAAACAAGACAATTTCTTCCATCGTGGCTAGTGTGGCATAGATGCTAGAACCCGGCTTTATGCATGCGCGACAACATAAATTGTATGGCAAGTGTAAACGAGTGAATTGGATATGGGTCACAATTAAAACAACGTGTAAACAGACAGGCAAACAAATCAGATATAGGCAACAAATTGGAATTGGGCATCAAGACCAAACAGTGTAAACGGCGCCTAAATTAATAATTTAATTGAAAAAATTGTTAGGGCAGGCCTATTTATTTTATTCATTTAATTTAGTTTATTCTGTTTTTCTATGCTGTTGGAAATACTGCAGGTGTGTGAAGATACTCTGTTGTTATGTTCGCATGTTAAAATAAATCAGTGTTTAAAATGCAATATTTAATGTGTCAGACACAACAGAGACGTCAAATTTTTTTAAACTAAATGCTAATTTAATATTAATATGACCAGTTAACAGGTAATATTTGATTAATGAGCGGCGGTTGTCGGTAAGCAAAATTAACCAAAATGAGCATCCCTACTTCACAGGGGCGTAAATCCCAGGGGGAAAAGGGGGGACATGTCCGTTCCTATCCGAGGCTTGTAATTCTCCATAAATCTGCTGCATTAACGATTGAAATTACTTATTTGGGGTGTCAAAATTAATTGTTTCTTCGGTGCACCGCGATGCAGACGCGGACAATAAGGTATCGGTTCCGTAATAATCATAACCGGTTATTATGTACTGATGTCACGTCATTGATCTCCTATGCGCTCTGTCACGAGGGAGGTGAGCGCGAGTATTTTTAACACTCAGCCAACTCAGGGCCGGTCTGTGGCATAGGCACCATAGGCAAATGCTAAGGGTGCTGTATATCCAGGGGGGCGCCAGAAAGGAGCGTGGTTCAGTTGGTTTTGTTTTCGATATTCCTGACACGCATTCAGCTTTAGACGGCATTAACTCATAAACCTCCTACCCTAAAAAGATCTAAAGTGTGTTTCCTACAAAAAGACAAAGCTGGTTATGTTCCACAGCTGTCTTTCTTTTTTTTCGCTCGACATTACGAGCACTGCTCTGTTTAAGCCCTCGCAATACGTGTTTAGCCGGGAGAGCTCGCGTGGAGAGGAGCTCTCAGAAAGGGACCGTCTGAAAAGTGCTTTTTTTTCTTTTTTCTGCTCCGCTCAGCGCAAGCTCTCCCTGTTGCAAGGGCTTAAGTGTGTGTGTGTGTGTGTGTGTGTGTGTGTGTGTGTGTGTGTGTGTGTGTGTGTGTGTGTGTGTGAGCGTGTTTCTTTGGTCCTGTCTATGTTTGTGTATGTGTTTGAATGAGAGACAGTGTGGTGCTGTGTGTCTGTGTGTTTATACAGACAGCTTGTTATAGCCTCCCCCCTAAAATATAACACTGTATATGGAAAGCATCGTCAATACACCGAGATATCGAATTGAACCGAAGGCATGATAATCGTAACCGAACCAAACCGTGAGACCAGTATAGGTTCACACCTCTATTACTTATCTAGTTAACGTTAGCTTGTTGCTAACACTAAAGCCATTTCCCATGCATTGTTTAATTTGTGACGACTTGGCATAATGTTAACTTAACATTAACGACCACAATTAGCATATTGTTTTGCTGTGTATTTGCTAAATGAGCGCTGTGCTACACTGTGCACACTGTGCACACTAACCCCACTGTATTATTCTATAATCAGTTTCTATTCAGTTTTAAGTAACTCAATTAATTTAAAATTAAAATGTTAACCTTTTTTAGTTATTTGTTTTTGTGATTATTTTTATGATAGTTTTGCATTCTTTATGTAAAGCACTTCGAATTACCATTTAAATGTGCTACAACATAAATAAACTTGCATTGCAGTGTCATGTAATGAATAAAATGACAGAGAAAATTGAAATAAGATAATTTTTCAGTGCAGCTAAACGCCAAGTACAAAAACTTCACGTATTAAGGCAATTTGGCTTTAAGAATGAGTGCTTATGAAAATACTAATGTCACATTATCAATCACAGGCAAAGGAGAAAGAAATGACTGAGGAACAGGCAGGGCAGGGTCAGTCAGATGTACAGTGTCAAGTAAGGGTGTTGTGCTTTATTTAAGGGATCATGACAATTCTTTAGGGATGAACAATTTTTTTATGTTTTCGTAGTTGTGGCTGTTTAGCAGATGAACCTCGCAGGTTTAATGATTTACAATATGATCGGTCATTTTAACAAGTGTAATGTAAACAAGTTAGTTATTATGAGTATGGAAAACGTCTTTTCCTGCATTTATTCTGCTTCAGGAGTCAGACAGTCGACTGTAAACAACACAACAAACAATGCAATAAATAGTTTTGAAGAAAAATTTGCTTTGTCGTTAAACCTGAGAAAAACTTTAAAAATAATCATAATGACGTAGTCTCCACGCTATATTAATAATGATGAAACCATTTTTAACTGCGGGGAGACATCTTTATTAGTACAATTCGGCTGTATTATTTGTGTCCCCTTCAAAAAATTGCTGTCAAAAAATATTGTCCCCCCCCCTACTGTTAAATCAGATTTACGCCCATGCTACTTCAAATAAAATCATACCGGTGATGTTGACTCGGTCTCCGGGCTGCACTTTGTCCACCAGGTCGTTGTGAGCGTAGACGACTGTGGTGTGAGGAGTTTGACCCGCAGGCATGTCCTCCGGAGACTCCTGCAGCTTTATCTGTCACACACAAACACACACACGACTTCACAATACATCTGTTTTGCACAATTGCATAAATACCAAAATTATACAAATGAAACAAAATTCAAGAGCGTAAAATGATACACAAAATAAATGCAGCTGAATAGAAGTGAGATGCCCACCATTTGTTTGTCGGAGAAGACGGAGCGGTTGTGCACCAGTGCCATGCTGTGTGTGGTGTTGCAGTTTCGGCAGACGGCGGGTTCAGCGATGCGTCCGCGATCCACCTCCACACGCGTGTTAAACGCACAAACCTGACAGCGGAAAAAAGCCTCCTGCATCTCCGGGATCAGCTGAGATGTACGGATCACCATCCCGCTGATAGTGATGAGCTGGTCAATGTCTGACAGGAGACAGAAGAGTCACATGTGTACACTTTATCAATAAACTGTAAGATCTGCGTTCGGTTTGTTAAAATATACATTTAAATAATACAATTCCAAAAATCCCCAAATTTTCACTAATTTGGTGCCGTGACCCGGATAGAGACTGAAATCCCTAAATTGTCATCAATTGACCCTTCGCTAAGCCACAACCAAAACCGCCACCCACCAATCGTGGCTTAGCAACCGTAGCTATGTGCAGGGGCTCTGTCAAGCTTTCAAGTGAGGGAAACGAGCCATAGCATTGTGCATATTGTTACGAGTAGTGTAGGCTTGTGTGTGGTGTTTCTCTCGCTCTCTCTTTCTCTCGCTCTCTCTCTCTCTCTCGCTCTAAGTATTCGCAGGTGCAGCGGATTACATTGGGTCGGATCATGATTGGCGCTTAGATTGGCGGCGGCTATAAAAACCCGCAGAGAACATGGGTTCGATGGCTCCCCGCTCTCTCTCGGTTTCCCCGCTTGTATTCAGTGGAGAACGTGATCCAATGAGTGTTTGCTTGTATCTCTTTGTGGTTTTGTGAGATGCCGTTGTGTTCATTTTTAACCGGCGATTGAAGCCCGGTTTTCTGTCTCCCTGTCGGGCTTGGAGCATGTAGGGAGGTTTGGTGCCTTATTTGTTATTTTCGTTTTCTCCTGTGTTTGTTAGTAGGGAGGTAAGTTTTCTGTATTTTATTTTACTTGTTTTCTAGGGAAGTTTAATCTAATTTAGTTAGCTTGGTTTATTGTCATTTATTTTGGCTGAACCCCTCCTGATGTTATTTTTGCTCCTTATTCCTGTAAATAAATCATACTTCCTTGATAATTCTTAGTGGTTGTGTTTTTGGTATATATTTTGGGGAGAGAGAGCGCGGGGGCACCAGAGATTATATTTTTAATTCCTTGTTATTTTGTTATGTTTTGGTTACATCTCTTTTTGATTAAGGATTTTTAATTTAATTCGTAACAATATAGATTGTGTAAATCTGACACCTGGTCTCTTGAAAGTTTGGACAGGGTGGTGGAATTTTTTCCCTTTTCAAAACCAAAAACTCAAGGGGAGAAATGCCAGAGTGGATCAAGCTCTGTGAGGGGCGCTAAGGAGCAGATTTAAGTTGGTTTTGTTTTGATATTCCTGACACAATCAGTGATAGACTGACGGCAATAACTCACACTTACCCTAAACAGATCTAAATTGTTTCCTACAAAAATACAAGGTCGGTTATGTTTCACAGCTGTCTTCTTTTTTTTCTTTCGCTTGATATGAGAACTGCTCTGTTTAAGCCTTCACCATAGTAGTCATATAAAAAGCGAATAGGTCATGGGTTATTGTTCCCAAATTATGAATCTGAATTATGTAGAAGCACTGTCCATGCGTGTTTCCTCGTCGGTTAGTAACGCTTTATGTCATTGCACAACAATTAGCCTATCAGGCTTTTTGGCTAAAAAGAAAGAAATCCCCGTTTAATAAGTTATTATTAGATTATATTTAAATTTCACCTCTCCTGCTTTGCATGAACTAAGCTAGGCTAAGCTAGCTTCAATTTTGATTAAATTATTCTCTAACTGGTTGCCTATTATGTCGCGAATATACCCCTGTAATGCATAGTGCAGCCTATTTGTGCCTTTCTTTCTTGGATATCTCATTTGTTCGCCAAAATAGGACTAACTATATCCCTGGGAATGTCTGACACTGGCGCATACACATTGTAATAGACGTGCCAGGCACGAAAGCTTGACAGGCGTATTAACAGTAACTAAGGAAGGCAGAGCTTAGCAAAGGGTCAATTTGGTGCCGTGACCCGGATAGAGACTGAAATCAAGAAATTCCTCACCAATTTGGTGCTGTGACCCAGTGATAAGACTAAAATCACCAAAGTCTTACCAATTTGGTGCCGTGACCCTGATAGAGACTGAAATCTCCAAAATCTCACCAATTTGGTGCCGTGACCCAGGTATAGAGCATTAAATCACTAATTTCCAGCAGGTTCCTTACCTTCAGGATTGAGGTTGCGCATGTTTCTGGTTTTAATAGCGCTGTAGGGTCGCACTTGAATCTGATGCTCCAACACAGAGTCTGGAAAACGATCGAAGAAGAGCTCATTGACAGACATGTCGAAAGTGGGGATGACTTCCTGTGAATGGAAAAAGTTAGAAACTTTAGACAAAGTCACATTTTAATAAATCAGAGTTTAGGTTTTTGTAGGCATACACAGCACTGCAACACTTATTTGACTAAAAGCACAAATCGCTAATAATGAGAATTATCAAAACAATCTTTAATGTGATTTATTATTATAAACCTAAAGGAAACCTATTATGCCCTATTTTGCAAGATGTAAAATAAGTCTCTGATGTCCCTAGAATGTGTGTGTGAAGTTTCAGCTCAAAATACACACAAATAATGTTTTAGAACTCTTTAAAGCTGCCCGTTTAGGCTTTGATCCAAATTGTGTCATTTTTGTGAGTGTCGCTTTAAATTTAAATGAGACTGTACTCTTCTCAAAAGAGGGTGGAGTTTAAAAACACCTATGTCACCATAGCAGCAGATAACTCTAATGTCAGACGGCTGCTTCTCACTCAGGGCTGTTTATGCTAATGAGGGAGAGATGGTCACTAATGGGCGGGGCTTCCCCCCCTCTGATGACATGTACAAAGGATGAATGTCAATCAAAGTGTTTCTGTTGATTGTTTGATTATAAAAACTAAAACCCATTAAACTCATAAAACACATTTTTACCATTAGAAGCTGGTTATATTCACACAGTTACCACACAACTGTTTCTGTTTTTGCATAAAAGGTCTTCTTTAAAAGATCTTTTCTTATCATTTAAAGTCTGTGAAATCCAAATGTGTTCATTTTGCTAGTGCTATTGAGTGTTATTCTTTATGTGAACAATCAATCCGTGCAAGTAATCTTCAAAGTCTGGCCTAGAGCTGCACAATTAATCGTAAAAAGATCGCAATCTCGAATCGACCCCCTAGACCAGTGGTCACCAAACTTATTCCTGGAGGGCCGGTGCCCTACAGATTTTAGCTCCAACTCTAATCAAACACACCTGAACAAGCTAATCAAGGTCTTACTAGGTATACTTAAAACATCCAGGCAGGTGTGTTGAGGCAAGTTGGAGCTAAACACTGCAGGGACACCAGCCCTCCAGGACCGAGATTGGTGACCCCTGCCCTAGACGATCTTCATCCAGCATTTCTATGATTCTGCCAATCATATTTTCAAGTTCAGGGGAAAAGCAAAGGCGGCTGCACGAGTCTTTTCATTCTTTCACATACATTGCTCAGCAACATGGACACCTCCAAATGATGTTGAATGAGTCACATACTGTATTTATAAGGTATAATTCACCTAAAAATGTCATTTTTGTCTTCATATAATGCTGTATTCAAGGCCGGGAAATCAAATGTGACGTGAACTATAGTGCGGGTGTGTGCCCTACTTGCGCGTCTCCTTTAGTGAACAGAACTTGCTGTGAGTAACGGGTAATAAAATTGTAAATAATATTCCGTTTGTGGCACAGAGTGATCGCTTGGGTGCCGCGTGTGAAGTATGAACAGCACATGAAACCGAAAGTGTGCACTTTATTTAAATGATCATATCACATTTTAGAGTTATGACTGCGACAAGCATTTGATATGTTTTTCTTTTATAGCGAACACACAGTTGTGCATGAAAATAAATGTTTAAAGAGTCAGTATAACTACTCTAGCCTATATAATGTTGATTTTACCAGTGAATTAAACGGTCGAATAATGTTGTCAATGATTGCATGCATAGGCCTATATCTCAAACATAATTCAACATCAGAATTATTATAAGTAGAATGGAATTATTTATAGAAACCAGTAGACCTACACATAATACCAATATTGTTGTTTTACCATATGTTTGGGAAAAAACAATAATAATTGCCGACTCATAATAACCTTTATTTTACATCTACAGAATCGTGAGAGAATCAATCTTTGTTTTAACCCAAAAAAATAAAAAATAAATAAAATAAAAATGTAAAAAAAAAATTGCGATTCTCATTTTAGCCAAAATCGTGCAGCTCTAGTTTGGCCATTTGCTTTTCTAGTGGCGTCTGTTTGATGCTTTATGTACTTAACCACGCCCCTCTTACCATTAGTGAGGGAATGATGCGCAAAGAGAAAGCCCCGCCTCCTGCTCAATACTGCATTTCAGTTGGAAGTACATCAACATACTGATATGAAAATCTTTCAAGTAAAGCTAAATTGTGAATTGTCACATCACGCTTCAGAACTAATTCTGATGTGATGATATGGTGCTCAAGAAACATTTCAGATTAAATAAACAAATATTAATGCTGTGAGTATTTGATGTAATGAAAGTTCAAAAGAATCACATTTTTAACATTATAAAAGCCTTTACTGTCACTTGACCAATTTAGAGGACTTCCAGTATGCAGTTTGGAGAGTGAGATGTGTACGGGAGTCACTCCGTAAATTTGATCTAATTCAAACAGTTAAAAAGGACATTTTGGGCTTTTAATGATTTAAAGTGACGTCCACAATGGTAAAGATCTTTCAAATCCAGCTAGAACCAGCTAGTTTTCCTCATCAGTATGCCAAAACCCAAGCATGTTTCTCCTGATCCTGCTAAAAACTGACGACGACACCAAAATGGCCGCGCTCTCCTCAGGGTTAACGCTAGCTCTTTACTACACAGTTGCTTCTTTTGTTGTAGATCTCACCTGTGGATAACAGATGAGCTGGCGGTACAGATCAGCATCAAATGTCTGAATATGAGTGCAGTTCACATTCAACACCGGCTCTCCAACAACACTGATCTGAAACACACACACACACACACAATATTTATATTATAGAAGACATATTAGCCATTAAGGATTTTGCATGACGCACTATAATGCGAGCAAGTCTTCAGTGTGACGAGGGCTGCTCTTCTTACCTCATCCAGTTTCTGCATATAAAGCGGTTCATTGAGATCCAGACCAGCGTTCTCCTCTTCTCTCGAGTCGGGGTCTGTGAACTGCTGAAGGAAACGCTGCAGAGGAAACACACAGACTCTCAATATAAGGTCAGTTTGACATGGAAAAACAGCTTGAGTTCAGTCATAGACCTTCAGCACACCTGAAACTTCTCCTTGCAGGTTCCCACATTGACATCAGTCCCCCAGATCACGAGCCTCTGTCCTGCACCCTGATCTCCGGCCACTGCTGCGTCTCCAGAGGCCTGAACATGAACACAGATATACATTAGCTTAAGACTAAAGATAGTTTTTATAAGCATATGTTATTAGAGTATTTATTAGCATAGTTTTATATAAAATCATTTACTTTAGTTTTTATCAATATTTATATTTATATTTTTAGTATTCAGCCTTATTTTTTGTACTTTTGTGATGTGTTTTATATATGTTACACACTTACACATACGCATTATTAGTTTAATCTATGTTTCAGTCTTTATTTTATTAAGCAAATTAGTTTCATTTATCTATTTACTAATGTTAATTTCTGGATACTGTGTATATGCATTTCTTCCACATTACAATTTAGCTCAAAGTTGTTGCTTGTTTTGTTTGCTTTATGGCTTTAGCTGAGCTAAATCATGCTGATTAAAATTGTGAGATTATGGGGTTTTCAGAAAAAACACAATTACATTTTCTAAACAAAGGAAATCATTGTAACTAAATTCCTTGTGTACTGTTGGGATGTTTTCATCCACTGCGGGGTGATTCGGCGTATTAATTTGGCCACAACTTTCTCAAAGCTTCAGCAAATTGAATGATTTTTGCTGACAAATCTGATTTTGGACACATATTTTAGGAAATTGCTTTCAAAAACTCCACAATACACTTTGAGCAAATTGACTACCCTTTCGTTATGTTGGGGGCTGTTTTTGCCCCATTGACTTCCATTATAATGACATTTTTTGAAGCTATATGGAGTATAGTGTGTGTGTGTGTGTGTGTGCGAGAGACCTCTTGGTGTGTCTGAGAAAATCAAAATAAGCAGCTCAGATCTCAGAACATAGTAGGTGTATTTATGCACACACACTATAATCTGCTGTTTTACTCCACAAAACAAACTCCAAATAAAAGCCAGAAACTTTTTTTTGCACAGGTCCACCTAAAGCAGGGGTAAGGAACCTATGGCTCGGGAGCCACATGTGGCATTTTGACCAAAAATATGTGGCTCTCCAGCTGTCTCCCTTCAATAATATTTCAAAATTTTAAATAGTACAACTGTTACTAGAAATCAGTTTCCTATTGAAAATACAATAACAATTCCCTTTATATTGTATTATCTACAGCAAAATGAATACAAATTCGGTTTACAATAAAAGGAAGTTTCAACCCTTGTGCATAAGTGATGTTGTGGTTAAACTTGAATCACAACATCAATAAAGGGCAAGTTATATTTCTTACATTTCTATGGTAATTTACATTTCTATGGTAACCTCGCGCAAATTCTAACATTCATGAGTGGCGATGGCAAAAAGCAGTAAATTGTCTTACCTTTACACTAGAGAAGCTATGATTCTCAATATAATATTGAACAGTTCAGTACAGAATTAATGGTTTAATACGCGCTTCTGAATTGAAGTTTTCTCGGTTTTACGTTTAAATAATTTATGTGCGCTTTTTTCCCCCGAATTGAGTGTTTGTGTGTGCCTGTAAGTCTATGAGCTGAGATGAGGAAACTCCTCCCGGCGAGTAAATATCCAATCACTATTCTCTAAAGTTAGGGGGAGCTTGACCATCATTCCACACTTTACCATGGCGAACGCCGGTGAAGTGAGGCAACAGTACGAGGAAGCGCCGGTGTCTTTTTAATCTTCGGTGTAAGGACATTTCGGGTTTGCTCAAAAGTATAATGCCAATGAAAGAAAAAAAATGGTATTGTATTGTATTTGCAGCCGTTTTCGGTGATTGGAGATGCAGACTTGTGTCATCTTATAAAAGCACTCGATCCGAGTTACAGACTACCATCTCGCACTTTTTTCTGCACTTAAATAATTAAGATGGTTTATTTAGGTTTACTTAAGTACAAATATGTCTATTTGAAATGGCCAATTCATCTTATTAACTTCACATGTATGTTTAATTTGAAAATGTAGGAATTTGTGTGTTCCCCAGTTTGTACATAGGTTACCAGCAGCTGTGAGATATCAGTGTTTATTTTTTTTATACAATACACTAGGAACTACTGTACTTTTCTTGGCTTTTAAGTAAAACAAAAGGAGTATTGCAATAAATCCTTTTTATTTCTCGATAACCTCTTACTTTTCCTATTGCCTATAGAATAACAAAAAAACATGCGTCAAGCCAAGAGAACCGAATACCGTGTTAAAAAACTGAGGTATGTAATGAATTGTGGGCTAACTAGATTGTTGCATCCCTACTTCATTCATTGTGATGTGTCATATTTGTTTATTTTTGAGTTGTGCATGGAAATAAAGGTTTTGTTTATAAATAAAGGTTTTGTTAAACACACGCCCCATATGGCTCCTTTAAAAAATGCATTTAATTAAAAAAAATTCTGAAATGGCTCTGTGCTGAAAAAAGGTTCCTGACCCGTGATTTAAAGGGTTAATGCTACCAACGGATGATCAACAGTAAAAAAAAAATCACAAACTGTACCTCTTCCTAACAGGGAAAACCACCAATAACCAAGAATGCATGACTATATACTGTCATAGCTTTGCTATCAAAAAAGTAATAATAGTGGAAGTCAATGGGGCAAAAACAGCCCCAAACATAACGAAAGGGTTGTCGATTTGAACAGTACACAAGGGTTCAGTGAAACTGTAATTATCAAGAGTCCCTCACCGGCTCAGAGTGCATGTCGACCTGCGGGGCTTTCCGCACAGATCCCAGGTCAGCCCGCTGGCGCGCCGGTGTCCCGCGGATGCCGCTGCGGGGCGTTCCTTCCACCCTGGAGCTGGGCGTCCCGTACATCAGAGGAGAACTGGCATCAATCTCACTCTGCAAGACTAGATCAACAAATCCTGATGTTCACAAACCTTCACCCAAATCACCTGCTTCATTTTAGTGATGCACCGATCTTAATACTGCGAGCAGTATTTTTGAGCAGTACCGGAGCGCGGGGCCATGGGGCTGGAGAACAGCGATGCATCCTGAGCCGGAGAGGTGGGCATTGGCTGCAGCTCAGTGGAGGTATCATGAGCTCTGGAGCGCTGGGATGGAGGAGACAGAGGATCCTCGCTCGCCGCTGTGAACACACACACACACACACACACAAACCATCAAACACAAGCCTGAGCAGAAAACAGCAGATCTGTGCAGAGACGGACGGACAGAGAACGAGACTCACGGGTCGGAGGGTCTCTCTTACGGCTCTGGGATGATGGTGAAGACATCTTGACTCAAAACTGAAAGAGAAAACGTCAGAAATGAGAGAAACGGAACCACTGATTTCTCATTCATTTGAACAAACATATTTTTACTTCATCACAACTACATATACATGTAAAAGGAAATGGATATAAACAGTTTTAGTCAAAATCTTTCGCCCTCCTGAGATTTTTGTGTTTTTTCAATATTTCTTTAATGATGTTTAACAGAGGAAGGAATTTCTCACAGTATTTCCTATAATATTTTTTCTCCTGGAGAAAGTCTTATTTGGTTTATTTTGACTAGAATAAATGCAGATTTTCTTAAAAAAAACAAAAAACATTTTAAGGTCAAAATTATTAGCCTCCTTAAGCTATATTTGTTTTCCGATTGTCTACAGAACAAACCATCATTATACAATAACTCACCTAATTACCCTAACCTGCCTAGTTAACCTAATTAACCTAGTTAAGCCCTTAAATGTCACTTTGAGCTGTATAGAAGTGTCTTGAAAAATATCTAGTCAAATATTATTTACTGTCATCATGGCAAAGATACAATAAATCAGTTACTAGAGATGACTTATTAAAACTTATGCTTAGAAATGTGTTGAAAAATATCTTCTCATTAAACAGAAATTGGGGAAAAAACAGGGGCATAATAATTCAGGGGGGCTAATAATTCTGACATCCACTGTATAAATAAAAGCTAAATGGTGCAGATAAATGTCACAATGCAATGGAAACAAATAGGAAAATAAATTCCATCTAGCAGAAATGTTGAATACTAAACTTAAATAAATTCTTATAGAAAGAAACATATAATTTCATATTAAATTAAAATATTATTTTCTGCTCTAACAGCAGCTAAAAAAATGCTAGATTTATGTTGGCAGCCTCCACACTACCCTGCACCAGAAACACTGGATGTGTATGCTCTTGAACATCACAAATATGGAACTGTCTGTGGCAAGGATGCATGGCGTTTCTAAAAAAAACGCTTACCTCATGGATATGTGCAGTAACGAGGATAAAAGATATGCTATTGTGATGTTTTTTACCTATATGTAGAAGTCCAATGTATTTACCTTTGTTAAAAGTGTTCTTGTAAGGAGTTAAATGCAGAGGTAAATGTATTTATTTACTTTAGTTATTTATTTAGATGTATTGCAACTTCTCTCTGTTTCTTTTATTTATTTATTTATTTATTTATTTTTTCTCTTTTTGGCTCTGAACCGTTTTCCTTTTTTGTTTAACTATTTATCATTTTCGCAAGGGGCGGGTTGGGTATTAATAGAGTGCAGTTGGTTGCTATTCTTGTCTATAGCAATGTTTACTAGATTATTTCCAATTGTTCAATATAAAATGCATCACAAAAATGTAATCTTTTTTCATATATATATATATATATATATATAAATAAATAAATAAGAAATAACTCTAATTTAATGACTTTCATTTCTCACAGATTTAGTAAAAAGCTTGCAATTGCAAACATAATAGTTTTCATAACTTATTTAAAATCACTGATTTGTGTTATCTTTGCCGTAATGACACTAAATAATATTTGACTAGATAATTTTTTTAAACTTCTATACAGCTTAAAGTGACATTTAAAGGCTTAACTAGGTTAATTAGGTTAACTAGGCAGGTTATGGTAATTAGGCAGGTTATTGTATAATGATGGTTTGTTCTGTAGACTACTGAAACAAAACAAATTAAAGGAGCTAATAATTTTGACCTTAAAAAGGCTTTTAAAAAATAAAAACTGCTTTTATTCTAGTGAAATAAAACAAATAAGTCTTTCTCCAAAAGAAAAAATATTATCAGACAAACTGTGAAAATTTCCTTGCTCTGTTAAACATCATTTGGGGAAAAAAAATAATCAAAGAGGGGCTAATAATTCTGATTTCAACTGTAATTGTATTTAAAATAATAACAATTATTAACACTAATAGATCGACTTATAACTGCATTTGTTAATTATTATTAACTATCAGGATTATTTTTCGCCATAACAGTAAGGTTAGAAAAACCAATGATTTTCTTCAAAAAACTAAATCATATTAAGGCTATACTATAACCTCGTAAATAAATAACGTATTATAAAACAATAAATGTCAAACTGAACACATCATGGCAACAAAAAAAATCAAGAATAGAAGTCAACTAAGTTAGCTGTCGCCAAATAAAATGGCTGACCACAGACCAAAACTTGTAAATATTTAAACAACGTGTAATCCTATGTAATATCAATTATGCAAGCATATCTGTAAAAAGGAATTCAGTTTTATTAGAGAAGTATAAAGAGCGTTAAATAACTTCTGTGTATGTCTGCCTTTACACTGGAGGAGTGAAGAGCAGCATGCGGCTTCAGCCACAACAATGACAGAACTCAAGTCTGTGTAACGTACAGCAATAAACATTATATTTAGAATATCATTAATGTAAATCATAACGCACTGGGCTTACATATGTTTAAGAAACATTATACGCAGGAGAAATGACGTTTACGTTAAAACAATCCGTTTACATAAAAACACACAACACTTACCGTGCGCACTTCTTCCCTTCTTCTGTGAACGGTGGCGCGAAACTGACTGTGACGTAAATTTCGCGGGGAAATTTTGACCAACCACGAACACGCTCCTCACTGTGAGACAAGCGGGGGATACATGCGATATGCTTGAGCACAAATTCACATAAACGCCCTTAATTTCTTAGGTAAACTATAATTGTGCATTTAAATATCCTTAATATTGAAGTAAATAGATTTTTACATATTCCTATTTGCATTCTGGACGTTACAGGATGAGTGACATAAAGACACCCTATCTGCTGTTTGGTCTCGCCCGACATTTTCGCGGGAAAGAACATCAACAGAGTATAAATAGTAGTAGTTCCTCTGGTGTCCACTAGATGTCCGTGTGGTTGACAAGATGAAACTCCTGAATCTCAGTGAATGACTGTTTAGCACATTATTGAACGTTTTATAAACAGAAGTGAAAGTCAGAAAAACCAAACATTTACTTTTAAAAAGCTTATCAAAGTGGATTTTATTAATTATATGTGAAATAAAAACAAATATTACAACGTGTTGACTGCATATTTATCTGCTTTATTTGACTTATTTTGTTTGTGTCGTCACACAATATAAACTAATATGACGATGATAAAACAAAAAATCTTAAATTATTTATTCATTCATTCACTGGTCATTCACATATTGTGATAACAGTATAATAAAACATAATGCAAAGACATTCTTTCACTTATAAATGCTTTCCAACACATGCGACATGCAATCATTCAATCATGTTTTAGAATATGTACTATAACACAAATAATAATAATAATAATAATAATAATAATAATAAATAATAATCCTTTTATTATTAAAACCAGCAAGAAGGTCGCTGGTTCGAGCCTCGGCTGGGTCCCTTGGCATTTCTGTGTGGAGTTTGCATGTTCTCCCCATGTTGGCGTGGGTTTTCTCCAAATGCTCCAGTTTCCCAAGCAGTCCAAACGCAAGCTAAACTGTCCATAATGTATGTGTTTGAATGAGTGTGTATGGATGTTTCCCAGTAATGGGTTATAGCTGGAAGGTCATCCGCTGTGTAAAACATATGCTGGTTAAGTTGGCAGTTCATTCCGCTGTGGAGACCCAAGATGGGGTAAGAGACTAAGCTGAAAAGAAAATGAATGAATAAATAATTTTAACAACAAAATACCACCCATATATCTTGATTTTCTTGATTAAAATAGTGACAAAACAATAATTAACGTTAACAACAAGAGCATTGATAAAAAACGTATTTATTATTATATTATTATTAATATAAACTTATTGTTATTATTAAAACGTATATTTATTTACTTGCATTTATTTACTTTGATAGTGGTGCATACATTTATTTATTTTCAAATACGCTTCTAATTCAAAAAAGCATTCAAACTTGTGTATATATATATATATATATATATATATATATATATATATATATATATATATATATATATATATATATATATATATATATATATATATATATATATTATATATATATATATATATATATATATATATATGTATATATATGTATATATATATATATATATATATATATATATATAATATAAATATATATATATATATATATATATATATATATATATATATTTCTTTTTTTTTTTTTTTTTTTTTTTTTACGCTTTTTCTTTCTTACACACTCACATATAAATATAGATATTCATTTATATGTTTATTTATATATATTTAT